ATCTTTTATGACATCCATAGGAAGTTCGTTTGAAAAGTTTCTATGAAATTTCTGTAAAGGTTTGAAATTGTAGGAGACAAACAGCCGATTTCAAGAAAGTTTATGAGCCTGATAAATTTTGACAACTCGAAAATGTGATATGAATTTCAAATTACTCAAAGTCTAAACATTTGTCAGTTTGTAAACTTGTAAATTTAAATTAAACGTTCTTGCAACCGGCTGAAAGGTAAAAATCTGAATAAAAATGGAGTGGATAAAAAAAGTTGAAATATTAAAAAAAATACCTAACTCAGAAACAAAAAAGGAAAAACTAAGCTATATGGGGATGAATCCTATTGGTTTTGAAAATAATCTCAATAAAAATGGGGGTTAAGGGGGGTCTGTTAAACTGTGAAGAGTATAATATAGAAAGCCAAGCATTTCATATCTTTATTCTAGTTTTATAATTACTATCTAAAATAATTGTTTTTCACAAATGATGTCATAGATATAATGTGTATAAGAAAAAGTATTGAAACGCCACTGTTCGCAAATGGGCCCTTATATACTGCCAATCACTTGTATTGCTTGTTTGATTTTAACCCGTAATTCACTTGATTTATTCTCCTATGTTCAGGATAATGAAACTGGGCATTAGTCAGTTTTGATCTCTGGTTTACTCCGTGAATTAGACATTTGTTCGTCTAGACTCTGTTTAGAATTCACATAGACGAACGCATTGCGCCATATTGCACTAAATAATGTATTTAATGCTCTATATTATAATTAGGCAGTGCGAACGTTTAAGTTAGAAAGTGTAAATTATAGACGACCCTGCAATTTTTAAACGACATCACGAGGATACAATTATTTAATTTAAATGCACCTGCTTGTTCTGACACTACATATTTTACTACAGAGGTATAATACGACGAAATCTTGTAGAATTCACGCATGACGTAATGTGGTACAGAATATGGCTATCTGTTATGGCTACGAGCAGATTACAATGTATTTTGGCGCGCTGTTTTTGATCAGCTGGTAGGTATTCCCATGGTACAAAAAAAATACAGGGTATTCCTACCTCAAATTCGTAAAAGCCACTCTTCTGCACCACAATACGGCACCGTGGCATAATATAAGTCTCGTTCGCGTTAAGAATCCTGAACTGATTCATATCTACTGATTCGTACTTTGAGCATATGTCTGATTCCTTATCAATTCTGAATTTTTACCGCGCGCGCAACTCCTATTAAATCTCGGTATTCCAGGTATAACAAGCGGTTCAGACCTAATAATAATTTTACCACGAACACAGAGTAAAACCAATAATTCAGTTCTTTCTGTTCCGCGAACGCTTTTTAACTACTGCGCATGCGAAATCGTTACTGTTAATTATAATTCGGTTCATGATTTTTAAGGCGAACGAAGCTAGTATCAATCTGCGAAATATTTCAGGTTGCCATTTAAAAAAGTCACGTGGTGCTCTCATCAGAATTGAACTTAAAATTAGCCATATTTAATACATATTTTCAATCAACATGATCTCTTTTTTATGTTTTTATTTTATAATATAATGTATTTTTGTTTTGCTTTTCTTCCTCTAACATTTTTTTTGTATTATTAATTAGGTGTGTGATTAATTTGTATTGCATGAACAGGTATATTTTTTAAATGTCAAACCCTTGCTGTAGAACAATCTGTTTTTAAAAACTATAAATATATTATTATTATTAACACTCTGTATAAAATAAATCAGTTCTATCACCACTATTCGTTAGCTTAGTATCTTATCTGTGTATTAAACAATTTTGAAATTAATGTAAACCTACCTAAATTATGATAATTTAATTTGGGGTCAGCATCATTCTCTATTTTCAAAAAAAAAAAAAATAATTGCTTGGCAACACTATATTATTTAAAAAGTTTCTATGGTTGTGTGTGTGAGAGAGAACTTTCTAGAGTTAAATACCATATTACCAAATTATCCTAAAAATAAAACACAAGGTGTTCTCTTTAAAAGACATACATTTTATTTGCCAGACAAAAAAGCAACATCCTGTATATCCAAAGATATTTTTAATACATGTATTTTTCAAATCTATATAACTTTTATTTGAAACTATTTTGCGTGTCTATAACACAAATTGAAATATTGAAAAATTACGCACTAATCGGGTACCCTGTATAAAATTTTATGTGCGACCAACTATTATTTTCTCTTTTTCGCCTTTTATGAGCAAGTTATTATAAAAGAAATTTAAATTTAAAGTAGTCCGCGGGCGATAAAGGGGCACTTTACGCCCGTTAAACGTATTTATAATCTGGACTATATCGCCCGGTCGTGCATAAAAATATTTTTCTACACCCGTATTATAACAATGCACTTATATGCCCAAAATCCGTTTCATAATGATACCCATTATGATACAGATTTTTCATTATGATACAGATTTTTAATCAATAGAAACCTACAATTTTTCAATCAAGCATGATGTTTGACGTTTGTCCTAAATTCCTATGTAATTGTTTTAGTTGTCAAAACGTATTAAATTTTCGTAGATAACTAAACTTCGATAATTATAATATTAAAATGTCTGATATCAGCGATATAGAAGACTCCTCCACACATATCGGAGAAAGGAGAAAATGCAGTACAAAATATTTTGCCCCAAAAATCTGTGGTAATACCAATACCCAAGGTAATACCATTAATTACAATTTTGTAGAATTTTTTATAGAAATACGAGTAATTACTGTTATTGTGTTCAATGCCAATATAAATAGAATATTTATAGGTCTTGATTATTTATCGGGTGTAGAAAAAATAGCGTATGCAACTCTCATGTAATGGTTATTACATGATCGTTGCATAATATACTATTTCGTATTCGCTAATTTACTTCTGTTATTATTTAAACGGGTTCCTTTAAAATAGTCCTCTAATAATAATCATTTTTAAAGGGATGTTAAAATTCACCTTTAATTTTTAACGGAACCGAGAATGGCGTTTCATGATATAATTGTAAAAAATTTGATTAAAGAGTTACTGGAAAATGAAGAAAGCTATAATAAAGTACAAAACATTTATTATGTAGGTAAATTAGGAGTATAGATTAAGTAACAAATATAATTTATAATACAGAGCAATTGAATTGTATTTTGTAATTCAGAAAACAAAAGAAATAAAATAACAGATTTCAAAACCAATATAAGTTTCCTAGATGTTTGGGCCCAATTATATTCAATTGGGCTGCAACGTTTTCCTAAACTTTTTTAATTTCGTTGTATCTAGTTTATTTGCCCACCGTGAAGTAAATTTTGCTGTTCTAAGAAATTTATCATCCACACTTTTTGGTTTTTAGTAGTTCTTGATGCGCGAGACATTATTTTATTTTTAATGTACGAGGCTGGGCTGAAAAATAATTGGCCTAGGCAAGAAAACACAACTTTTTTGGCAAAACTCAATTTATTTCTCAACATAGTCCCCTTTAAGCTCTATACACTTTGTCCAACGATTCTCCAATTTTTCGATGCCCTTCGAATAATACGATTTCTCGAAGTCCTTAAAATAGGCCTCTGTCGCAGCGACTCAAATCTCTTACCACCGAGCCATTTTTTCAAGTCTAGAAACAGATAATAGTCGCTGGGCACCAAATCTGGGGAGTATGGCGGATGAGGAACCAATTCGTAACGCAATTCATACAGTTTTGCCATTGCGACTGCACATTTGTGCGCCGGTGCGTTGTCCTGGTGAAAGAGCACATTTTTCTTCGCTAAATGCGGTCGTTTTTGCTTCAAATCGTCGTCGAATCGGTCCAACAGCTTTGAGTAATAATCGCCGGTGATGGTTTTGCCCTTTTCAAGGTAATCGATATGAATAATACCGTGCGCATCCCAAAAAAACTGTGGCCATGATCTTGTTGGCAGACAGACCCACCTTGGATTTCTTTGGCTTTGACTCGCCCTGAAAAACCACTGCTTTGACTGTTCCTTCGTCTCTGGCGTATTGTGATGAATCCATGTTTCCTCCACGGTTACAAAACGGCGCAAAAAGTCCTTCTTATTATGGTTAAACATTGCCAAACACTCCTTTAAATTTGTCACACGGTTTCGCTTGTTGTCGGCATTAAGCAAACGCGGCACCCATCCGGCAGCGAGCTTCGTCATTCCCAAATATGCATGCAATATATTCTCCACTCGTTCACGTGAGATGCCCACAGCCTTAGCAATCTCACACACTCTTACCCGTCGATCGTCAATTACCATACCATGGATTTTATCGACCACTTCTGGTGTGGTGACCTCTGTTGGAGGGCCTGGACGTTCATCATCAAAAATTATCGTACGACCGCGTTTAAATTCGGCAGTCCAATATTTTATTGTTGATAACGAAGGTGCTGAGTCCCCATACACATCATACAGTTCGATTTTGATCTCATCGTTCGTTTTCTTTTTTAAAAACAAGAATCTAATCACTGCGCGATATTCGATTTTATTCATTTTTGTAAAAATGCAAAATCTGTTTGCCTTCAATCACTGTCAAGTACAAACTAAGTGACGCAGCTCGCTGAAAATTTGACATAAGTCACTTGAAAGAGTTTTTACGAAAAACAATTGCATTTGTTCCTAGCGCCGCCAACTCTTGCAGAGGCCGATTATTTCTCAGCCCAGCCTCGTATATAGGTATGTTTTGGTTTTGAATATAAAATTAAGGGTTTGTATGGTTATGCTTTCAAATGTATTCTTCTAATCCTTCAAAATTAGTTCAAATGAATCTTAAATGCGATGTTGTCAAGTGTTCTCCTGTCATTTTTAAGGGACTCCGTTAAAATAAATAATTTTTAACAGGCCTCTAAAATTTATTTATACAGAATACCATTTTTGGTCAAAAAAATTAACGGGCCGCTAAAAGTTACATTTTTAAAGGCCTCTAAATTTTAACGGATGTTTTACAGAATAGACCCCATATTGTTTTAAAGATAACAGATCAAATAAAATAAAATTACATTTCTACTTACAGTTAAATTAACATTGCACATAGATGGCCCGGATAGTATCAGCTTAACAATGTCTACGTTTCCAGACCAAGCTGCCAGATGTAAAGGGGATGAACCTTTGCTGTCAACGATATTAGTTGAAGCATCGTGTTCCAGGAGCAGTTTCACGATCGCTCTGCAAAAATATTGTAGAAATAATAGTTTTTTAGTGATAACAAACATTGATTAGTCAAAAAAGTTTAAAATACCTGTGTCCATTCAAGGATGCATGATGTAGAGCCGAATATCCACTGCTATCCTGAACGTTTGCTCCTGGGCCCCTCCGAAGGCTGTAACAAAAAAAGATTGTTATTAATTTGGTGAATTGAAAGAACTTTCAGAGGATCGATCCAATTCAATGGTTGGACGATACGATACGATCCGTAGTAAATTTATCGACCACATGAGAGCGAAATTCCCATCCTTCGCCAACCATGCCCCAAAAAGTACACACGTACAGGGTGAGGCACCGAAAACAAAACGGTTTGAATATCTTGAGGGAGACATTTAAATATAAAAAACAAACAAAAAGTAAATTTGTATTGCACGGGGGACACCTTTCTACGAGTATGTGTACAGGTTGGTCCAGTTTATATTGTTAAAATTCCACCAGCTGATAGTTTATCGAAAAATAAAGGCACTCTGTCCAATAAAGTATGATGCAATTTTGTTTTCTTTTTGATGTACAGGGTTTAGGTATTCGAAGACGTTTAAAGTTTTTCCTCAAAACAAAGTATGTTACGAAAAAAAAAAAATATTTTTAGTTTATTTAAAAAAAATTTGAAAAATTTCACTTTTTTAGGTTTTATTATAACATTATAGTAGTATTATAACAAAACCTATTTTATTGTTCGATAAACTATCAGCTGATAAAATTCTTACGATATAAACTGGACCACCCTGTATAATTGTCATATTTCATTTATTTCTCCTCCGTCAATCCTTTCCCCTCCGCCATTCCTTTTCCCACCGCCATTCCTTTCCCCTCCGCCAGTCCTTTCCCCTCCGTGTTCGTGCGATATGGCCATTATATCCACTCTTGTTGCACAAAGTACTATTTCGCCAACTTATGAGTACTTTCCACATAAGCTGCCAAATGTACCAGATGCATCATTTCAATATTGAAAAAGTATGCAAAACCGATTTTTCCACGACCACTTTGAAAGTGACACATATCGCACTATCATAGTCTCATGGGAAGTGTCCTATATCACACGCATGTGGATAAGAATCTACTTTCCGTATCAGCTGTCAAATGTATGAGACGCATCATTTCTGTTTTGATTTCTATATTTCCAAATTTAGAATAAAATTGATTTGATAATTAAATTGTCAACATTGATTTTTATAGCTAGATCATAGATATTTATTTTTAAAAAATAATTTAAAAGTAATTATATTATTTTTGTTTTTTTTAATAAGTATACTTGACAAAAACCTGTTCATTGAGTGGTAAACTTTATTAACCTTGGATTTCGCGAAGCAGGTTCAATTCCCGATAGAAGCAATCTTTTTTATTTTTTATTTTAGAAAAATATAAAAATTGAAAAGTTGTTCATTTATTTTAAAAACATTTTATTTATCATAATATAACCTTTACAATTCGCTAATATTTCCGCTATTTACTATGACTATAAGTGTTCGCCCAGTGTTTGAAATTCGACCATAATTAGGGTTGCCTGCCACCTGTTCTTTTTTGAAAAGGACAGTCCTCTTTTGAAGCAAAATATCCTTGTGACTTTTTAAAGCTTAAAGTGTCCTTTTTTACGGCAAATGTCTTTTTTACGGCACATATCTTTGGAAGGGACATGTTTTGCACAAAAATATATAAGCTGAGGACTTCTTTTAGAAGTCCAGTAGAAGGATGAGGACTTTTTGTATACCGGAGCCCCTGTCAGCATCGTAGTCCTTTATTCACTTTTCAAAAAGGTGGCAACCCTAACCATAATCATTATTGCAAAGTCGAGGAGAACATGCATATTATGCATTTGTATGTTTCTAACATTTTTTTCTTTTTATTCGTATACATTCGTTCATTGCATAAACTTTTATATGTACCTACAATACAATATAGTTTAGTACCATTAAAATTAAATAAAAAATAAATTCAATAAAACAACAGTAACTCACAATTTAAAAATCCCTATTTATTGATATAAAACACATTTTCGTCACAGATTTTTGCTTAACCGATTCTGATTAATGGGCACTTTCTTCTTCTTTTCATTTATTTCGTTTATTTTATATTATATTTATTGCACTTAGGGGGGGGGGGGGAGTAACTTGTCTTTCGAGGGACCATAACGGTCCCTCCAAAAGAATGTCCATACAATATAATACTGTTCCATTTGGTCCTCTATACAACCGTGTGTGGAGGGAATAGAGGGGGAGGTGGATCGAAAATCTCTAGAACCCAAAAAAACTAATAAAAAACATTGTATTCTAATATTTTTGTACCCAATATTATTTTACCTTCATCATCCTATGAAAATTATTTATAAATGGAATCACAATGTTTTTAATTTCGACAAAGCACCATCAGTAAAACACTTTAACAATTATTCAATATGGCATATAAAAAAGTATCTATTCAGGGTTTTACATTGTTTTGATGAAATTATTTTGTGGTCGTAGAAAAAATAATGTACATCACTTGTGTAAAAGTTATTTTTCACACTCGTGTTATTATCGCACTCGGTTTATCCCTCGTGCGACAATATTTTCACTTGTGTGATAAATATCACTTTCCATGCTTGTTGGATTTGTAGTTTACTAAAAGTTGAACCCAACCCAAATTATGAATTCGGCCCTAAGGCTCGCTTACCAAGTGGACTGTCTCCTTTCGGTGATAGTTGCAAATATTTTCATACGGATAATGAAATTCCAGCAACTTCGTAAAAAACAATTTATTGTGCAAAACGTTGCACGGCAACTTTTAAATTTTACATATTTACACTACACTTTATTTACAAACACCTAGAGACTTAACACTGCCTTAGGGTTAACATGGCGGGGTTGATTGTAGTTTAGCCATTGCTTTGTAGCTTAGATTGCTTGCTTGTTTGCTTGCTTGTTTGCTTGCTTGTTTGCTTGTCCGCTTGTAGGTAACTCTTTCTGCATGCCAATGGAGAAATGCAATCATCGAGTGTCTGCCTCCTCGTGGCACCGCTGGATACGTTAATATTGCTGCTCTATGAACAGCACTATTAACTAACTAAATGGCACTCCATCAATACCCCAAGCTAAGGTGTAAGGCAACGTGCTGAAGGCTGAATGGCCGCTGGGAAAGCGGTTTCGAACGTTCCTCTGAGGGAACCTGGCGAAACCCTCTTGTATCTAGCCTTGCCGGCGCATGCGGGGCTCTGCGTCGGTCGACTTTTATTTCCCTAGCTGTTCGTGGCATTTACATGGGCAAGAAAACCAAATTTAGCAAACCCCGGCGGGACTACACCGCCACCAAATCTGATCAAACGGAGTCTGCCATCCGAAGCGATCAACCTCCCTCAACCTCTCAAGTGAGACAACCTGACAAGAGAGAAGTGGGAGAACAAAAGAAAGAGGTGAAGGGAGAAGAGAAGAGGAGCACCATCGCTCCATCTTCTCCATCCCCCTCTCACCACTCATCGGCGAGGGAAGCTCCCCTCAAGAAAGAATCCAAACGGAAGCTACCTTCCCTACCTCCACTGGGACAACCTGGTGGAAGGGACGACCCACTGAGGCATGGACTCAGTGGGGCAGGGGTTCGGTGGTATCTTCGCTACCTCGCTCAGGGCATGACGCCGGAGGAAGCGAAAAAGAAAGCTGTAGAGCACAGGGAGAGGGAAGTAAAACCAATCCTAAGGATCTGAAAAGAAAGCGGGACGGGAATAACATTACACCACCGCAAAGGAAAGAAAAGAAAAGGAAAGTGGCCGATACTTCCGCTTCGGGCAGTTATGCAACTGTCGTGAAGACGGAGCGGGTCGCGATCCTACCTAAGGGGTTCCCTGAGACCATCCTCAGTGCGAACGAACAAACCTTGGTGGAAGAAGCCCTGGTAGAAGAGATGTTCGCTGGATGGGAGCATAAGCTCCAATTCGGAGGCATCCACTTCCGGCCAGGAATGGTCTTGATCGACTGTGAAACCCCACAGTCAGCAGAATGGCTCAGGGCAAAAATACCACACCTGAGCAACTGGAAGGGAGTGGAGTTGGAGGTATGTGCGGGAGACGACATCCCGAAAGCACATACAGCCACGCTCTTTCTCCCAAGAAGTCAAGGGAAGCCTGTAGAGAAGCTTCTACAGTTAATAGAAGCGCAGAATGTGGGGCTATCGACCACACTGTGGAAAATCGTCAGTCAAAAAGACGAGGGCAAAGGCCAGATCCTTAGGTTAGGAATAGATGACCTATGCTGCCAACGGATCAAGGATAGTGGATGTACTATCCACTATCGATTCGGGAAAATCCCCGTACACGGCCTCCAAAAGAAAGAAGAATTAAAGGAACTGGGAGGAACAACAGAACCAACTCCTAGTACTTCCAAAGATGAGACTGATGTGGAGAGCATAGAGAGCCTTAACCTCTCAAATCTCTGCGTAGACTCATCTGAGGATGTAGAAATTGATGAAGAAGCAGAAGAGGGGGATATGGAACGCACCCTCACCGATGGGGACAACACCCCCCATTAAAGGAGAGAAAAATGGCGGGCATCAACATCGCCCAAGTGAATGTCCATCACGCCAAGGGAGCCTCGGCTGTGATATCTAGGACATTCACTAAAGATCAATTAGGGATCGTATTGATCCAGGAACCGTGGGTCTATGGAAACCAGGTAAGAGGACTTGCATGTAAGGATGCAAGGGTAATTTATCACACTAGTGATGAAGTACCCAAAACATGCATAATGGTAAGAAGTAATATTAAATATTCTTGTCTTTCAGAATTCATGACGCGTGATCTCGTTCCAATTCGAGCATACCTGGAATTAGGGATGAGGCGGCAAGACATAGTAATAGCTTCTAGTTACTTCGCTGGAGATGGGCATGTACCACCCTCGGAAGTATCGAGGCTAGTGGAGTACTGCCAGAGAAGACATCTGCCATTACTTCTTGGATGCGACGCCAACGCGCACAGCACTGTATGGGGAAGCAACGACACCAATCAAAGAGGTGAGCAACTTTTAGAATATATTTTTAATAAGAACCTTATTGTGCAAAATATTGGGAATACTCCAACATTTGTAACAAGGGCAAGAAGTGAGGTATTAGACATCACATTAAGCACACCGAGCATTAAAGATCTAGTTAAAA